GTATTTAACTCACCCTATCAATGATAACCAGTACTCCAGTTGAACATATTTACACCCTTTTTAAGAAGTTCCTGAACTAGATACCCTAGCTCCTTGAGAGAACAACCAAGCCTTCCGACTTATTCACACTATCTGAAATTACTCTTCTGTCTTGAATCATGACTTTACTAATTTATCCCCATAATTAGAAAGTTAATATTCTTCTTGATTTCAACTTAAATCTTCAAGACCTTAAAATCAGCGCCACATAGGATAACATGATATTACTAAAATATTTTGCATCTGTTAAATCTTAAATCAATCCAACCGCCCAGCCTAAACCAATCACAATGTCGAATGACTCTGCATGAGACATCTTGTCTGACATGTTGCTCCAATTGATGAAATATTTCATTTCAACATGTTTCTCCATAAAATAGGACTTCTTTTTCAACATGTTCTTCTCAACAAGTTAATATATCATATTTAACATATTGCTGCTATATTTGTTTTACTAAAATTAATGTCAATCCTAAAACTATAGAACTAACAAGAGGGTTACTCAAGGTACAATTGTAATCAAATAAAAAATAATATGAATTACACAAAAATTACAATAACAAGAAACCAAATTACAAATTAAAAGATTGAAAAAATCATCAAAATAAAGATGATACTAACTGAGCAATTTCAAACCATGCCCTTTTGAAAAAAGTGGAGATAGACGATGCTTAAAGGGGATCAGGATCTTTGGATGGGTATTATTATTTCCATATATGGAGATACAATTGATTCATCTCTTAGTGGGAGAGGATAGTTGGTTTTCATTCTTTTTCTTGGTGGAAAGAGGTGCTCTTCTTGGTTCTAAAGAAGATGATAACTCAGATTTATTTGCATATGGTGTATTTAGGAAAGATGGGTCAGGAACCCACACTAATTTTTAGAGTGACACTTGGTTAGGGAGAATTACTTTAAATACTAAGTTCCCTAGGTTGTTCTCTAACCTTTTTCAGTATGATGGGTTGGCGGGAGAGATTGGTTTGGTGGTAAATATGGTTTTGATTTGAGATCTTAGGTGGTATAGGCCCTTCTTTCTTAGAAAGCTTCTCGTTTTTAAGGAATTGTTATCTTTGCTCTAATGTGTCACTCTTTTCTTGGAGAGATATAAGTGGATGTGGAAGCTTGTTAGAGAGGGTAGTTTCTTAGTGACACATGTTTACCTTATCCAAAGGGTTAAATCCATCTCTTCATCGCCACCTCTTCTGGGAGTGAGTCAAATCCTCCCTCTTATCTGAAGTAGTTAGGCTTGTTCTAAGATCTCGATCTACTCTTCATAACTATTGCAAGATAGACTTCCATCTAGATAGAATATTTTATAAGAGAGAGGTGATTTTTTTATCCTAGTAGGACCTCTTATCCCATCTTTGGGTGCTTGAATGAATCGGTATCCCACCTGTTGTTACTTGTGATCTGACCATGTATGTGTGGTACAAAATCTTTAAGTGGTTGGGGTGGCAGTTTATTATACCTTATTACCCTATGATTCTTTTTGAGTATCTTCTTTATTTATGGGGAAGTGTTAAGTATATGGGTGTTTATCTTTTGATTTTTCATGTTGTTTTTTGATCCATTTGGAAAGCTCGTAATAATGTCATCTTTAAGGGAGTCACAAAACTAGCGAAAGAGGTGGAGAATAAGAGTATTTTTTGGTCTGAAAAAGGTTTCTGGATAAAACATAGGTGAACTCTTGCGCTTTCTCTAAATGGCTTCAAAACCTAATCATTTACTTGCACCTATAGAGGATTGGTTGTTTTTCTTGGCTCTGAAGTTTATTTTGGCATCATTTGGGTGCTCCTTCGATGGGACTTAATATGCTAATGGTGGATCTAGTGGTTTAGGATCTAACATGCTACCAACAAGGTAGATTTTTAGTAGTTTGGGTATTTTTCTACGGAAACCCTTGGTTTGTAGTGTTGGTAGTGGTATTTTTGTTGTATCTTTTTTCTCTTTTGTTGTCTCCAAGAATTTCTTATACTTTGTGACTACTTTTGTTATAAACTGATGATTTTTTATCTCTATATTAATATATTATCAAGGATAATTAATCTTTTGGGTCTGCAACCAGTCCCATCACACAGGGCCTTAATTATTTTAGGGCCTCGAATTTCATGATAGTAGTAATAGAGATGGAAAGATTTACACTTTAAATATTATTTTTTGACATTCATCCAATGATTTACATGTAGTGAAGCAGTAGTCATATTTGTTGATGTTCCTACCTATGTTGGATGTCATATGATCGATTCTTGCAAACCCTTTTTTAATGTAATGCTAGAGTTTCAAAACAACTTATAAGGTAGTTAGAGGTGGAATATGCCATGTCAAGTAATAGGGGCCTACAATGTAGCTTACATGGGTTTAGGTCAGATCATACTTTTTTAAATAGAAAAGATCTAGACTTTTTTATAAGTATATTTAGTTAAAAATGTTAAGTTTCATGCCATAAAAAAATCTTTTAAATCTATCACGCTGGCTTATTTAATTAAATATGAATAATTTATTATTATTATTATTATTATATTGTATATTATACTTTAAATTATAATACCAAAATAAAATTTTGTTATCTTGAAGAGCTTACGGAAATAGGTTAAAAACACCTTATCAACAATGTCATAAGTTGCTTTTAGAAATTTTCTTAAAGAAATAGTTGCACAAAATTATGCTACTAGGTATCCTCGTATAAGTTAATGCAAACAAACTTTTCATATCTTTGAGTTTTTAGTTTTGTAGTCTATATAAATATTAATTGTATTGACTATTTGTATATGTTTAAATAAAAGAGATTTTTAAGTAAACTAATAGGTCAATCATGCATTCGAAAAGGTCAGACTCAGACATAAAAATAAATCTATGACAGACTATAGGTCAAATTTAAATTTTGATATTTTTAACCGGTTAGCCTTAGACTTGACAAAGAATCACAAATTAATTGAACAGATTTTATAGATATTCTTGGAAAATTATTGTCTCACAATTAAATAAATGTCTTATTATTTCAGATTTTTAAATAATATTTAAAGAATCACATTTATTTTCTAAAAGAACTTTTAAATTTTAAATTAATTTAAATAATTTTTTATATCTTGTTTTAAAAGTATTTTATTTTTTATTATGACTTTTTATATATTTAACAAAATTATTTAAAATAAAACTATTTTGATTAAGTTAAAATATTTAATAATAAATATTTAAAACAAGATTTTGGATAATATTCTTTCAACGAGTAATAATTAATTATTTTAAAAAAATTACAAAGTATTATATGTGACTTGATTTATTATTTTTTTGAAAAAAAATATACTACTTTATAATAATATATTAAAAATAATAAATTTATTATTATTTTTATAAAAGATTCTATTATATGATTATAACCGAGTTTCTAAATTGTCCAGAATGGCACTGTTATATTATTATTTGTCATTCAAAAAATCAGTTTTGCAAAAACTTTCAAAAATCAAATAACATAACTCTCTTCTCTTTTGTGTTTGAAGTTACTATGTCAACCATTTTATAAATTGTTTATAAATATGATACTGTACAATTCATTCAAAAATACACAATAAAAAAAAAAGTTTATTTTCACAATATTTATCCTTTATCTTTTTGCTTATCTTGTACTTAGCTTATTTAGTTCAATAACTCATAAAAACTTAATATTGTACTTGATATCACATAAATAATGAAATGAAAGGGAAACAAAATACTGGTAACAACATAAAATTGTGTAAGTCTCAAATTGTTATTATCTGCAACAACTCCCAATTAAAGGTTGCAATGAGGTAAATAAATACAGACGATATAAAATTGAAAAAGGTAACAAAAAAAACAAAGAATAATATCCAATTAAGAAACTGATATTGAAATCATCTTAGGATCAGTGTCTAAAGACCCTGATCAATGAGGTAATCTCCCAACCTCTCAACAACCATGTTGCATTGTCCAGGAGTTACAGGTTCCTCATAAACACCAAAAACTAGGGCCTGTCCAGTTTTCTTTATGGTGATCCCTCCAGATCCCTATCCAAACACACAAACCATACCAAATCACAACACGTCATCATGTTACTCATCAAGATTCATTAGAAATTTGTGTGAAAAATCGAATAATGGTATACCTTCTTTCCGCGGATGACAGCTCCAGGCTCTCCTTGGATGACCATGTACTTGACTCCTGCAATGTGCAAGCCTGTAGGAGCGAGATGACCAGGCTCATCAAAATCTTTCATGATATCATTGTTCTCTTGAGTCTTAACCTGAAAAAGAATCACCAAAAATAATTGATAAGACTCAGACACCAAACACAACACAGATACAAGACAACGTTGGTACAACATTGTTATAATGCAATGAAACAATAACAAAAAATGATATAGATCTATTAATAAAATGGAATGATGATGAATATACCTGAGGGAAGGAAGAGCTCTGAGCCCAAACAGAACCATCATGGCCAATGATAGCAGCGGCAGTGAGATGGTGCCCGGTGCCATCAATATCACACATCAAATGCTCATCAACGTAAGTTTGCCACGACATCTTTACTTTAAAAATTTGTTACTTTTGTGTTCTTGTTGCTTAGTGTTGTTAGGTTACGTTTGTGAGATATAGATATAGTTTAAATAAGGGTTTGATTGGAATTAGATGATAGGTGAGGGATGATGCCCGGTCTACCATTGCTTTACCTCCACTCAATTGTTGCCACTCATTTGCATTCTCCTTCATTTTAGGACTTAACTACTCTCTCTATTTACTATATATTCTTGTTACTCATCCCCCAAAATAGATCGTAGATGAACGGCATAATTATTACTCAATATAAAAAAAAATGTTTTGTTATATATATATTACTCGTATATAAGCAGGGCCGGCCCAACATTCTATGAGACTTAAAGCATATTTTAAATTGAGGTCTTTTATATTTTAATAAAAAAAAATTAAATTAAATTATTATAATATTTATTTAAAATTTACTCTTTGAGCTTTTTGAGATGCAAAATTATTTATTAAACTATTGTAATCAATTTCATTTAGCATTTCGTTTTCAATCGATAATAAAACCAATCAATTTAATCTATGTTGAGACATTGTTGATCTTAGATAAGATTTTATTAATTTTAGTTTTGAAAAACTTCTTTCTGCCGAAGCAACAGTTACATGAATCGTTAACATTATTCTATAAGCAATAAATACATTTGGAAAAGAGTTGAGTATTATTATATAGTTAAGTATATCAATTGGCGTATCATTCTCAACATGTATGATTTCTCTTAATATTTTCAATTCTAAAAATAAGTCTAATCCATCAATATCAGAGTTATCGTTATGTTTTAACGAACATTCGAGGTTAAGAGAATATTCTTTTAAATTTTCAATTTCCAATAACCTTAATTTCTCTATACTAAATAGAAAACCAAAAATATTTTGATATATTTTAAATTGTTCAGATCTACTTCGAAATAATGTAATTGCATGGTCTAATATGTACAAAAAATAGTCAGATTTAAATGATTCTTCAAGAGTTTTTAAAACTTCCTTGTCAATAATCTCATCAAATTGTCTCTTTCTACGAATAATACGTTTTTCACGAAACTTAGGTTCTATATCCATTTCGGTAGCAATTTCTTTAGCCGAAATTATGGTATTTTCAAAACCATATTCCTTGTATTTTTTGAAAAAAGAAATAAGCCCTTTCAATTGCTCTATAGCAACATCAATGCTCATATCCTTTGATTGAAAGTGTTTACTAACTGAGTTTACAGCGAACAATATTTCATACCAAATAGTCATGCCTAGCAAAAATTCAAAATTTTCAAGCTCATAAGTTGCCAAACATTCAGCTTCACTTTTTATTTTAGGTTCATCATTCATTTCACCTAACTTAAATAAAGCATCTCTTATTTGTGAAGTTTGGAATCTTATAGCTTTTACACTTTCAATACGACTTTCCCAACGTGTTTGTGACAATGACTTCAAAGTAAGGTTAGGGATATGGTCTAGTAAAATTTTCCATCTTTTAGTAGAAGAAGAAAACATTGTATAAATACGTTGCACCACTCCAAAAAATGATGTAGCTTTGGAACAACAATTTGCCATATCACAAAGTACCAAGTTTAGACTATGACAACCACATGGTGTATAAAATGATCTAGGATTAACATCTAAAAATATTTTTTGAATACCTTGATATTTTCCTTTCATATTAGAACCATTATCATAACCTTGTCCTCTTAAGTTAATAATATCAAGACCAAGTATATTTAGTTCATTCATAATAACATCAAAAAGACCTTTTCCAGTTGTATCATCTACTACTAAAAATTCTAAAAAATACTCAACTACTTGTATCGGAGTTGAAGAAAAATCTACTCATCGTAATACAATAGACATTTGTTCTTGATGACTTATATCAGGAGTACAATCAAGTATGATTGAAAAATATTTTGATTCCACAACTTTTTTTATAATTTTTTTTTTGATTTCATTTGCTAGAAAATCTATTAATTCATTTTGTATTCTATGTCCAAGATAATGGTTATGAATTTCATCAATTTTTATTCGACGAATGTGCTCTTGCATTAGAGGATCAAATTCTGCAATCATTTCAATTAGACATAAAAAATTTCCATTATTTTTTTGATAAATATTTTCGTTTGTTCCACGAAATGCTAAGTTATTTTTCCAAGAGTTTTAACAACCGCAATGATTCTAAGTAATAAATTTCTCCACTGCTCTCTTTCTCTATTAATTCTTTCTTGAACATTCTTGTCAATTGTTTTATGTTTTAATAATCTCATTTCTAAATTAATCCATGAACTCATATTAACAATATGCTCATTACTCATCTCATGACTCTTCAACTTAGCACTAATATTTCTCCAATCATTAATACCTTCATGTGCTAATTTACTTGTACTATGAAGAGCATTAAATAATTTACAACAAAAGCAAAACACTTTATCCAATTTTTGAGAATAAACCAACCATCTTCTTTCACGCTTCTCTCTGTTGGATAATTATTGAATGTAAAGTAATGAAGAAAAGTGTCTTGCATATGCATCCTTAGGAAAATCTATATCGGTAACTTTAATAGGACCCTTTTCTACTAATAAATCTATCAAATTTGTGTCAATAGTTGTCCATTGACTTGGGTCATATATATTTTTATGAGATTATTTTGATAATACTTTTTCTCTTTCTTCATTGTTAGTGTCAGAATCAATATTATCTTGCCTATTAACCGATACTATAATTTCATTATCACCCGCTGTTCATTCTCTATTTTCATTAGCATATATATTGTTAACTTGTTCATCAACTACCTCTTCTCGATTTTCATTTTCATCATGGTATACATTATTAACTTGTTCATTCAGCGAACAATCACTATTATTTTCGATTTCACTTTTTTTGTTTGTCTTAACAAATTTGTCTAAAGTCCCTTTTTGTGATTCAATCAAAGCTTCAATTCTTTTCTTTTTCTTGAGTTTCGAATAGCCCGATTCATATTTTCGAGTCGAAATTTATATATTTTAAAACAAATGAACAATTCAATCAAATCTTGAAAGTAAATAAATAAAATAAACAATTAAAATAAAACTCTAAATAAGACTAAAATAAACAAACAGAATAAAATAACTGAAATAAATAAACAAACTAAAATAAAACTAAAGAAATAAAAGAGAATAAAAAATATAAAATAAACAAAATAAGTAGTAACAAAGAAAATAGAACCTGTTTGTCGATAAAAACAGAATAGAAGAAAAAACCGCTTATTTTCCGTCAATCAAAAAAATCTACCGATGATTGATTGAAGATAGAGAATTAGAAAGAACTCAATAAACTAGAATAGGAGAAAATGATGTTTGCCTCTGTAGAAAATATTCAATTGCAGTTTGAGTGTTTGATATTGAAAGAAGAAGAAGAATCAGTTATTATTTGAATAATGAGATTTGTGAAAATATTAAATCAATTAATACTAATTTTTTTAGAACGTTAGGATTGGAAGAGAAAGAGTCAAAAAAGTACAAAATTGAAAAAGTAATGACAGCTTTACGTGTCTGACAGGTAAACAAATTTATTAAAATTATTAAGTTAATTTAAATTAATTAATTGAGGCTTATTTTAGGCCTTAATATCTTTGATTCTAAAAATATATTTAGGGGCCTAAAGCCCTATCTTTACCAGCTTGGCCCAATGGCCGGCTCTGACGTGTCTGACTGGTAAACAAATTTATTAAAATTATTAAGTTAATTTAAATTAATTAATTGATGCTTATTTTTAGGCCTTAATATCTTTGATTCTAAAAATATATTTAGGAGCCTAAGGCCCTATCTTTACCGGCTTGGCCTAATGGACGACTCTGTATATAAGGTTAAAAGGTAGTGTATTGTCACTGTATAACTAATTTTACACCATCATTCAATGGAATTATAATATTCAACTATGTCATATCAGTATTTTAAAATTAAAAGTGTGACTTGGTTGGATACACTCTTCTTATTGGTTGATAGCATAAAAATATTTAAACTATTAGTTTATACTCTCTCTCTCTCCCTCCCTCCCTCCCTATATATATATATATATATATATATATATATATATATATATATATATATATATATATATATATATATATATATATATATATATATATATATATATATATATATATATATATATATATATATATATATATATATATATATATATATATATATATATATATATATATATATATATATATATATATATATATATATATATATATATATATATATATATATATATATATATATATATATATATATATATATATATAGGCACCTCCGCTAAAAATGGCTCATATGTTGACTATTTTGGAGGCTCTACGAAAAGAAAATAAGTCTTTGTGGGACAAAGTCCAGACGCTCCAGGCCTAGAGACAACTAGAAGGAGAAATAAAAGAAGAGTTGTTAGAGCTCTAACCGCTGGCAGAAGCAATATGGGACGACTTGGTTTTGAAGAACTTCAAATCACCACCATTGGCACCCTTTGAAGGCAAAAGCGACCCACATGAGCATTTCATATCTATCAATATCAAATGGCGATAGTCGGTGCCTCCGACTCCCTAAAGTGAAAACTCATGGCTGAAACATTTAAAGATGCCACCATCCACTAGTACATGAGTCTGCCCAGATGCTCAGTCACTAGGTATCAAGACCCAACCCAGAAGATGGTGCAACATTTTTCTGCTAGAAAACACAAGAATGTGTCCACAACCAGTCTATTCAATGTGTGCCAGGAACTCGCTGAATCTCTTCGCGAATACATGGCGCAATTCGATGAGGAAACCATAAAGGTTTCACACCCAAACCAAGAGAAGTTCGTAGGTGCCTTCGAAAACTGCTTGAAGGTCGACCATTTCAATGAGTCTCTTGCTCAGAAGTCGGTCGCGATTATAGATTAGGTGATGAATCGAGTGTTAGATGACGATAAAAGTATCTAGAGGGGGTGAATAGATACCCCTTTGAAAATTCCCAAATAAAATTTGATTTTGAAAAAGTTTTATCAAAGTACGACGCCAAAGCTTTTTAATTTTTCGTCTATACGAACACTTATTGGGAAGCCCGAATATGCAAACTATAGAAAAAATATAATATGAAACCTGAATGATATCAATTAATAACTTTGAATCACTTTGCACTTTATTAATCGTTTAATGAAAATTACTTCCAAGACTAATTCCAATGGCAATATTAAAAAGAACTAGTTGAATCAATTTATCAAACACTTAGTGTGCAAGTGAATTTCCCAAAATTTTCCTTTGATTGTGTTGATAAAAAAACCACTTATAATCAAAAGTGATTATAAGATATATCAACACTAAATTTAAAATCAAAAATTGATTAGGAAAATTCTTACGATTCAATTGATAACACAATGTTATTCGATAAATTGATAAATGAAAATCAAAGCAAGTAAAAGTAGAAATAAAAGAGACACAGGGAATTTGTCTTCACAGTTCCTGACTGTCGTCCTCGCGTGTGGGTAAGTCAGTGTCTAATTCCAACAGAATTAGGATAATTCTTACTATTAATTTTTTTTTATACAAGAGAAGTGTTAAAGAGAAATTCCACAAACCCTAAGCTTGTTGTTGATTGAACCCCTTCTCCTCTTTTGATCTTGAACAAGACCAAGAACCGATAGATGCAACCTATCACCACTTAAGCTACTTCCTGACAAAGATTTCAAACACTCCAAGGGATTTCACTTGAGTAAATCCGATTGCACTCTATCAAACACAAGACCTTCGATTCTATCTTCCAATACTTGTTACTTCCTTGAAAATATTTCAAACACTCCATGGTTCCTTGCAAAGATTTCAAACACTACAAGTTGATTCACATGGACAATTCCTTCTCAAAAGATCTTGCACGAAAATCCCCAAATAAACCAATTATCTTGGAGGATAAACCCCATGTTTTTTCTTGGATGAAAACCCATACAAAACTCAACCTAATACACAATTGGACAATAACAATCCTCGTCTAGATGGCACCCCAACAAAACATCGCTAAAATGTAACGTCAGAGTGTATGCATAGATTGAAGGTTGAAGATGATAAGAGAAATAAGATACTTTTATGGTTTTCAACAACTTGGAATGATGAATGCATGAGTATTTATAGTTTGTAACTTTTTAGGACAAGGAGGGATAAATTTGGAATAAAAGAATTTAAAAAAATTGACCCACTAAAGCAGTATGTGTCGACCTAAAAATCGTATGCGTCGACACATATGGGATTTTTGAACATAACGTGTCGACCTATAAAGAATTATGTGTCGACCGAAAAGTTATAGAAGCTATAGGCTTTAAAATGATAGCAAATGTGTCGACCTGAAAAGCAGATGCGTCGACACATAAAAGAAGAATTTTTGCAATTTTAGAGAAGCTTCAATATGTGTCCACCTGAAATATTAATGTGTTGGCCCAAGACTTACAAAAGCTTAAAGGCTTTAAAAATGAGTTAATGTGTCGACCTGAAATACGAATGTGTCGACACATGCAACGGAAATATGACGAAATGCAAATTTTTAGTCACTTCACTCAATTTC